TGGGTCGTCGAATTGATGACGACTTCGACCTCCGACAAACGCGTGTCCCATCCACGCTCATTGTCTCTCGCGTACGACCGAAGCGACGTATTGATCGCACGATTCACCCTTTCAACAGGGTTAGCCTGCGAATGGTATCTTGACGTAAGCCAATGCTTGATTTTGAATCGATCTAGTAAGGCTTTAAATTCCTTTGACGTAAAAGTTGTCGCGTTATCGGACAGCATAATCGCGGGGACCGAATTTCTGTGGAACCAATGACGTGTCAATTCAACACACAGCGTCTTAGCACTGATTTTAGAAAAGGGATGCAACTGCACCCATTTACTAAACAAGTCCATCGTTACGAGCACGTATTGGTTCCCCGATTTCGATCTCGGTAAGGGACCGATGTAATCTAGAGCGATAATCTGCCATGGACGCGACGGAATACGCATATCGCCCATCAGAGGTGTCGTCGACGAGTTCGGACGTTTTATCTCCGCGCAAACCGAGCATTTTCGCACGTATGTCCGGATTTGACTAACCATTTTCGGCCAATAGTAGGGCCGACGTACCTTTTCCACGGTTTTCTCTGCTCCTATGTGCATGAAATCATCGTGGCAGTATTTGAGGATTTCATGCCGTGAATCGGGACTGGGAATTATTTTCCAGTCGTAGCGATGGTCTGTCAGATCATTGTTGAACACAAATTTCATCAGCTGTCCCTGACTGACGCGAAAGTCGGGATAGTCGTCGGGTAGGTTTTCGACGGAAAGCTTCAGGTTGTTGTACCAGGAAGATGGAGACTGGGCAGATATTGACATCACACTCCATGAAAGCGCATCGGGGACAACGTTGTCCTTGCCCCGACGATGCACAATCGTCATATCGTACATTTGAAGCGATAGACTCCACTTCGTTCGCATGATGTACGTTAGAGCGGATGAATCCGTGACCAGTACAAAATGGCTTCCCTCAACATAGCCGCGAAAATGCTCTATGGAAAGGAGCGCGGCAAGGCCCTCTTTTTCCGTAGCATGATATACGCGTCCCTGGGTGGTGAGTTTTTTTTTTTAAATACTCTATTACCCGCTCCTGGTCATCTATTTTCTGCGTAAGCACTCCGGCGACGGCGTGATCGCTCGCATCAGTGTGGATAATAAATTCCCGATCGAAGTCAGGGCTGGATGAAATGGGTGCCGTTATTAACTTCTCCTTAATTGCCAGGAAAGCATCCTCCGCCTCAGGATTCCATCTCACAGTCTTCGTCTGACTTTTGACAAGCTCTGAGAGGGCCGCAGTCGTCTTGCTATATTCGGCGATGAACCGCCGGTAATAGTTTGACATCCCCATAAAGCGACGGAGTTTGGTAAGCGTCGTGGGACGTTCGTATTCTACAATGGGCGCTATCTTCTCAGGGTTAATTCTCAAACCCTGAGAGGATAAAATATAGCCCAAAAATGGGATTTCATCGCGGTAAAAATGGGATTTCTCCAGATTAATCGAGAGATTCGCCGTTCGGAGGCGTTTCGCAACCTCTTCCAAAAGCCGTACGTGATCCTCGAATGTCTCCGATACTATGACGATGTCGTCTAAGTATACGAAGACAAACGGTTCCAGTGCACCATGTCCTAACACTCGGTTCATCAATCGGGACAGTGTCGCCGGACTGTTGACTAAACCGAATGGAAGGCGGGTGAATTGGAACATCCCCTTCCCTTGGACACTGAACGAGCAATATTTCCAGGATCCCCGAGCCAGAGGGATCTGCAAGAAGGCCTCTGTAAGGTCGATGGTCGACAAAAAGTTTGCTCGAGGTAAGTGACCTAAAATGCGTCCAGGGTGGGGAAGGGGATACGCGTCACGTACGGTTCTCTCATTGAGCTTGCGCGCATCGAGACAAAGTCGGATGGCTCCGGTAGATTTTCGGATTGGAACTATGTTTAAGGACCAATCCGAATTCGACTCCTCGATAACCCCACGGTCTAATAGTCGGTTGATCTCGGCAAACAATCCGGCCTGTATCTTCGGAGCAATAGGATATGGATATAGTCGAATCGGTTTGCTTGACTTAAACTCCTCTTTAAGTACGATATTATGCTCATAAAGCGAAGTGGTCTCAAGCGTGTCAGAGCCGGCTACCTTAAAACTCCGTTTAACTTCTTCTAACCTCTCACATTGGGATTCGGTCAATCTAGGTTGAAGGCTCTCCCGATTGGGCTTTGCTACTGTAGCTATCCCTGAAACCGATGGCCGGATAGATTCCAAATATCCTCCAGAAATCTATGCCGCAAATACAATCTTTGGTTAAATTGGATGCGACCAAGGTTGGCAAGACTCGAGTTTTACCATTGAAAGTATAAGGGATATGAATTTCTCCAAGGACTTCCAGACGAGAACCGTCGGCCGTTCGCAGTTCCACCGCCTGAGCAGGTTTTCTAAGCCGGCCCTTCCTTAGCTTATGAAATATAGAGGAGTTAATGAAAGATAAATTGCTGCCGCAATCGAGAAGCGCATCTACCGGAATATCAAACATTTTGAGAGTAACGTGAGGTCGATCATCTGCTAGTCGATCATCTATTTAAGGTGATTTTGTGAATTTGAGGGAGAATTTCTTTTTCATCTTCATCTTCTGATCTAAGTTCATAAAACTGATACAGATCAGGAAACCAAGAAGCAAAAGAGCTCTCCTCTTGCGCGGTTGGAAGTTCCTGCGGCTTTAGGGCTTCCCCAGCGAGTTTTTTTTAAACAGAATGGACAGTTGTTGGTTGTGAACCCTTTCAAGGCACACCGATTGCAAAAAACCCTACGGGGAATCGGGCAATCTGACAGCTCGTGATGGTCCCGCAGTTGAAACTTTCACCTTAAGCTGGAGGACGATAATTTGAAACCAACTTGAGCAGTGAACTCGGTTTACTGGTCCCTGGCTTTTGTTCTTTAGAACGACCATCAAGCTTTTCCTCCTTATCTGAAAGATTCGCCTTGGGACTCGAAGCTTGCTTGGCGTTAAGCTTGGAATTATTGAGCACCGACTTATATCCTTTAGGAGGATGTTCGTTACCAGCGGAACCAGTTTGGCGATTCCGACTCGAAAATGTCCGAGTAGCCGAATACGTTCCGCTGCCGGAGTTGATCGCACAGTTATCCCGTTTGTTCGAGTCAAACATCTTCGAAAAGGCTGAGAAATCAGTGGCGTCTAAATCTCTACCAATAGCCAACAGATCCTTGAGCGTGGTTACCCTTTTACCTACCAAAGCACCCATTTTATCCAACCCTACTCCCCAAATCAATATTTTAAACAATACTATGTTACCCGCCGGTAACAAAATCATGCTCCTCCATTCATTAGAACGGTGCACCAAAAATTATCAGTGAAGTTTGTTTTACCATGCACCTTTGTGGGTCAATTTTCAGGCTTTACTGTTCACGCCAGTGTCAAAAAGTCAAAACAAACAACTTTGCCGAAGAAACTTTTTCGCTTTGATACTTCTATAAAAAGTTTGAGGTGCCGCCACCTCAACGGCGTGATCTAGAACTAAAATATTGACGTCCATAGATAGCCCTTAACCACTTAGACAACTTTGCCGAATGCACCAAACCTCTAAGATGCAGGGGTAGCGCGGTACGATTTTTGTCCAACAAAAGTACCATTCTGTCCCTATGTGTGCCTGGTTGATGACTGAAAGGAATGACACCCATCACAATGGCGATGCCAACACAGATCAAACAGATCGAAACTATTCCAGTAACAGTTGAAGAGCTAGGACATTTAGGAGTTAATTCAGTTGATAAGTTTAGAGGTCCTCTGTGTAATCACCTACAGATCCGCGCAGAAGTGTCTGCGATTCCGAGTCCACTTTCGATGTACATAATTTTCCATCCGACTAACGAGTGGTGAAATCCTAGATACCATAATGACCGCTTTTTCACTTCTGTTTTAACGTGTATTCATTTCCGTCTCAATCCACACTTCAAAGACGGATTACTGATGCTAATTCAGTAAATGTGTATTCACATTCATTTTCGTTTGCCGAATATCTCGGAAATTTTCGCACAGCTGCGCACAGTTTCGGCAAATATTTCGCTGAATCTCGGCACGTCACGTCGCTCGGCAAAACAAAGCTCGGCAAAACATTGCTAATTAGGAAAACGTAGTGTGTGCTGAGCTGCAAATATTTCGAAATTTGTATTTACTGTTCTAACCTTTTAACGAGGATTTTCGTTGAACAAAAAAACACAAGTACTTGGCAAAACTCGTTCCGGAGGGAACGCAGTTGTTTCAGTTTGAACAGATTGTCTTCCGCGTAGTTCCTCGAAAACGCTTTGAATATATTATACACTTTTTAGGCTATGACGTAGATTGACGCACACCAAATAAATACGAAACAACATCCTCCTGAAGTAAATAACAAGTGCTTCGGGTTTTCTGTTTTCGGCGGCGCGGTGGCAGCAGCAGCGCGCGTGATAAGAAGCACGAGTGATCCCGATCCTAAATCAACACCACCTAAGCGAAGAAATGAAACGAGTTTTTAATGTGGTTAGGTTGGCAAGTAAACACACATAATCCGTGTAGCAGCTAACCGAAAGTGTGAGTAAGTATATGGAAATCTCTCGTGAGCAAGAGAGAATCGGTTGAATTTTCTAGCTCTGGATTGATTGATATTAAATCGTTATCAAAATTATATACACTGCATTGTATTGCAATCTAACTCATATCAGAACGTTATTTTTAAATGCATTAAGTGGTACTGTATTTTGACAATCCATGCACCTTAAGTGAGCTCTCCTTCTCATTGTGGAAGCTCGCGAGAGCGAATCGGCGAGAGAGTTCCTTCTCTCTTTCTCTCTCTCTCTCGTTCGCCTAGCCTACTTTGATTGATTAGTGGGAGCGCGCGCTTGTCTTCTCGATGCTTATGTACTGTTCGCGGTCGTTCGGAAAGGCGACGCGACATGTTATAATTTCGGCTGCGATCCTCGCTTCCAATTCAGTGTTAATTTGGTTCTTGAAGAGTCAACATCAGCTGGAAGCTGGGAAAAGAAAAGCAAATAAGAGGAATATAAGTGCACATAAACTGTTGAAACTGTGATAACAAATTTGTTCAGATTTAATAAAAACAAATCAAGTGTTTGAACAACTGTGAAAGTCAAGAGCAAAAGGATACTGGTTGGTGGAAGAATATTCGTGTGGAGCAAAGTGGTGAAGCAAAGAGTGCTGATAATCGATCAGAAAAGGAGTTGGAAAACCGGAATATTAACTCGCGGCGAGGAAACGCGCTTTCGGTGAAAAGAGAAGCGCGCAGAGAACACTAGAGCAAAAGAGAAGATCGGAAAGCGTTCGTCGGTTGGTGCGATCGAGCGTGGACTATCGGCGCTTATTGGTGGTTTCTGATATCGAAAAGGAAAGGTTGCAAAAATGGTCCTAAGAAGCAAGGTGAGCAAGGTTCAGTACTAAATTGTTGTGTTCGTTTTTTTTTGCGGTTAAGGTTTCTTTCTTTTGCGTGGCAGGCAGTTTTTTTTCGAGAATAAATTAAGGTAAAAAAAAAAGTTCAAAGTAGACCAAATCAAGTACGACGGTGCCAGGGGTTTGTGGATGGAACGGGGTGAGGAAAGCTGTTTACATATTCACAATCATGCATTAAGTCGTTCAAAGACATTGTCAGAACGCAGAACGACGTTGACCGAGTTGACGCGATTAAGGGAGCCAGTGAGTGTGTTGGTGGAAGTTGAGTAGAATTTCGTCGGTTATCATCCGAGAGACACGTGGTCCTAATAAACGATGCCGTGAGCGGGGTGTGAGAGAACACGTGCTTTGAGAGGAATCTGTTGGATGAAATTGGCTACTCACGCGAGCTAGATGGCATCCTGTAATAGAAATTGAGAAAGGAGAGCGCTCGGCACATCTTGAATGATGTGACCAACTGTTGAGGGTGCGATTTGATGGGTCACTTGCTTTGCGAATTATATAAATCAATTCTTCAATTAATTTTAAACATTGGTTTAGTCCTTGTATCGAAGATGGTTAAACAAAATTTTACATTGACTATTTCAGAGAATGCCAATTATAGCGGTTGACAATGTATCACTCGAAATTCCTCAAATGTACCTACGCAGCTCGATGGTCCTTTCTCATCGAACTAAAGAGAATTGACTGTACTTACGGAAGAACAGTGCGCCAATTTGGTTGTTTACGTTTTTTTTTGGTGTTGTCAGTGGCAATCAGTGTGTATGCTAAATAATTTGCCACATAACCGAAACGATGTCGCTGTAGTTGAGGGCTCTATTTTTGGACGAAGTAGTGTATTTACGACGACACAACTTTTTATTTCAAAAAAATAAAAGCGTAAACAACGAAACGGTTCATGGAGGTTTAAATTGTTTGTTTGCAGGGAAACCCACGACATAGGATTAATCATTACTTTATATTTTGGAATGCTTGTGGATCGATTTGTTTGCATGCTTTTCGACGTTCAATCATTTTATGACAGTCGTAGATCATTCGTAAGGCGTTGGATGAAAAATATTTTCACAATTATTTTTTTCATTAATTGTCAAATTCAGAAACAGATCATTTTCAATCCTCTTCATAGCAAATGTCTCGATTCTAAGATACAGAGTATTCAAAGCATTTAATGAGTGACAGAATCCGTGCTGAAATCTGTTTATTTCGCTTAATTCATCCCATTCCGTAAGAAGTCGGTTGGCTCTTATCGAAACAAGTAATATGATTCGAAATAACATCGTCACTGACAAATGGCATGACAATCCTTGAGGAACATGAATGAGATTTATCAACACTGGACAGAATTTCACTGTCGTTGTTTCTCGTTCTAAAAAGACTACTCAAAGCTCTGCTGTGAATATAGACTCAATCTATTTTTACTCATATTTGGTCCGATGAATGGTATATTTAGCAATCTTGCAGCCAAAATGTTTGCACCTCTCATCTCCTATATATTATCAATGAAACTTGAGTAGTGGTGGTGCATGTGAGCTACGTAAAAGATCGTTATTGTCGGCGATTTTTAGCTACGACGTTATCTTCTTCCGGTTTGGCTATAGGGTGATGCAACTAGACGAAATTTGACCGAATTTATCCTTCAACGTATCAACAGTGAACTGGCACTCCATACATCTGACGTAATCAACGATCCGACACTTGATAATAAATTTGAATGATCAATAATCTGCCTTGACCAACAATTTACCGGTCATCAACAAGCTGCCATGATCAACGATTTATCCTGATCAGCAATTTGCAATCTTTCTTGATCAACGAATCACATTGATCAACAGCTTGTATTAATGAACAGTTCACATTGATCAACTATCTGATTCGAAAAATGATTTGCCTTGATCCTCAAACTACCGTAATAAATTGCCTTGCAATTTTTCTTGATCAACTATTTGCATTGATCAAAAATCTGCCTTAATCAAAAGTTTGTCTAAATCGCCAGCTCGCATTGATCAGCTGTGTTTTGAAAAAAAAATGCCTCTTGATCAGTCATCTGCCTTGATCACAGATTTGGCTTTGTTAAAGATTTGCTGCGATCCAAAATCTGCCTTTATGATCGATTTAACTTGATAAATAATCTGCCTTGATCAATAATCTGCCTTAATCACAAATTGCGTTGATCAACAATCAGTCTGTGTTGATCCACAATCTGGCTTGATCTTCAAATTTGTCTTGATCAATAATCTACCTTGATCATAAATTCGCCATGATCAAAAGTTTCCTTGATTATCGTTTTGTTGTGATCAACAATCTAACATGATCAATGAAACGGCTTGATAAACAATTTACTTTGATCAAAAATCTGCCATGATCAAATATCTGTCTTGACCAAAATCTGCTCCTTGATCAACAATTTGTCTTGATCAATAATTTTCCTTAATCAAACATCAACGATCAAGATTTAACTTGATCAACAATTTCCAACCATGTGTCTCGATCAAAGTCTGCCCCATGATCATTTTTTATTACTTTATTATTGAGATTTTTAGCACTTGGCTAGTTCATCTCATTGCCCCATAATAAACACTTTACATCAATTAACAATCTGTCTCGATCAACGATTTAGGTAACCAACCACAATCAACACCGCCATGATCAAATGTTGCCTTGAACATCGTTTTTCCTTGATGAAAAATCAAACTTGATTAATGAAACGGTTTGATTAACGATTTACCTTGATCAACAATCTGCCATGATCAAATATGTGCATTGACCAAGATCCGCCTTTTGATCAACGATTAACATCAATTTCCCTTGATCAATCATCTGCTGCGATCAAAGATTTGACTTTATTAACGATTTGCTGTGATCAAAAATCTGCCTTGATCTTCGATTTAACTTGATAAACAATCTCGACAGTCTCGATCAACGGTTTAGGTACCTCGTAGAACAACAATCTGCCTTGATCAAAAGTTTACTTGATTAACAATTACCCAAAATCACAATTTGCGTTGATCAACCATCAGTCTGATCAACAATCTAGCTTGATCCTCAAATTTGTCCTGATCAATAATCTACCTTGATCATCAATCCGCCTGCTCAAAAGTTGCCTTGATCATCGTTTTGTCTAGATGAACAATCTAGCTTGATCAATGAAAAGGCTTGATCGATGATTTATTTTGATCAACAATCTGCCAGGATCAAATACCTGTCTTAACCGAAATCCACCTCTTGACCAACGATTTGCCTTGACCTCAATGTGGATTAACCGTCAATTTGTCATGATCATCATCTTGCCTTGATCATCAACTTATCTTGATCAACATCTTGTCTTGATCAATAACTCGTTATGATCAACGATTTACCTTGATCAGCAGCTTGTTTTGATAAATAACAATCTGTTCATGATCAAAAGTTGCCTTGATCATCGTTTTGTTTTGATGGACGATCTAACTTGATAAATGCAACGGCTTGATCAATGATTTATGTTGATGAATAATCTGCCATGATCAAATATCTGTCTTGACCAAAATCCGCCTCTTGATTAAAGATTTGCCTTGACCACGATGTGCATTAACCGTCCATTTGTCATGATCAACAACTTGTATTGAGCATCAACTTGTTGTGATCAGCAGCTTGTTTTGATCAACAACAATCTGTAGCAGTCAACAGTTAGTCTTAATCAATAATTTGGCATGATTCACAATCTGCCTTAATAAACTATCTGCTTTGCTGAAAATCTGCCCCTTGGTCAATCATTTGCCGTGATCAACAATTAGTCAAAGATTTGCCTTTTATCCACGATTTGCTGTGATAATTTTGTTGCGATAATCGACAGTGTACCTTGATTAACAGTTCACCACAATCACAATTTCCGTTAATCACCAATCAGCCTTGATCAATAATCTACCTTGAACATCAATCCGCCATGATCATAGTTTTGTTGTGATCAACAATCTAGCATGGTCAATGAAACGGCTTGATCATTGATTTACCTTGATCAACAATCTGCCATGATCAAATATGTTTCAGATCCACGATGATGACGATGTTTGATCAACGATTTTCCATAACCACAATGTACATTAACCGCAATTTGTCATGATCAACCACTTCTCGATCGTCAGCTCAGCATGATTCTTGTCTTGATCAATAACTTGTTTTGATCAACGATTTACCTTGAGCAGAAGCTTGTTTTGATCAACAATGGTTAGTCTTAATCAACAAATTTGGTATGACCAACAAGCTGCATTGATAAACTATCTGCTTTGATAGAAATCTTCCGATTTGCCTTGATCAACAATTACCCTTAATCATCAATTTACTTTGATCATAGATTTGCCATTATAAAAAATTTGATTTTATCAAAAATCTACCTTAATCATTGATTTACCTTGATAACCAATTGCCTACTATCTGTCTCGATCATAATCCACCCCATGATCAACAATCTGCCTTAATCAAAGATTTACCCTGAACAACAATTCTACTTGATCTTCTATCTGTCGTGACCAAAATCCGCCCCTTGATCAACAATCTGCCTTAAACAACTATATGCTTTGATCAACAATTTACCTTGATTATAAATCTGCCTGGATCAACAATCTGGCCTGGTGATCAATCTGCCTTGATCAACAATCTGCCTTGATCAACAATCTGCTTTGGGAAACAATTTGCATTGATCAACAGTCCATCCTGATCAAAAATTATCCATGATCAAAAATTTGCTTGATGATCAATCTGCCTTGAGCAATCATTTGCCTTGATCAACAATCTGCCCTGTTCAAAAATCTGCCTTGATCAAGAATTTTCATTGATCAACAATCTGCCTTGATCTACAATTTTCTTGATCAACAATCTGCCTTGATCAGCAATCTGCCGTGATAAAAAAATCTGCCTTGATCAACACTTTGCCTTGATCAACCATCTGCCTTGATCAACAATCTGCTTTGAAAAACAATTTGCCTTGATCAACAGTC